TTAAAATACTTATTAATTATCATTAATTAATTAACATTCTGAAGTAATAATTATCATTATTATAATTAAGGAATTAATTATCAGTAAGTAATTATAATCAGTAATTAAATTTTATCAGAAGATCATTATTATTAGTAATAATTAATTATAATTATTGATAATAATTAATTATAATTATTAGTAATAATTAGTAATACTTAACATAAGTATTAATTATAATTACTAACAATAATCATATAATTAATTATTTCATATAAATGTACGAATTATAATTTTTGATAATAATTCTAACATAAATAATTAACATTAAATATTTATTTCCAAAATATCTAATATGAGTTAATATAAATATAAAATGATTATTTTCTAATTATTAATTACCTTTATTAAAATTGTTATTAATTATCATTCTGAATTAATAATGAGAAATATTATTAGTAATTATTTAATATCAGTAATTAAGTATTAGCAATAATTATTATAAGAAATTATTATTAGTAATTAATTATTATCAGTGAGTTATTGTTATTAGTAATTAATAGCTGAAATTAATTAATTAGAAGTCATTAATTATTATTAGTACTCTTCTCTTTCAAAAAGTTGACTCATCATCATCGTCATCATCAATGACAACAACTTGATAAATACATAATTTGATAAAAATAGGTAAATATCATTAATTTATTTTTTTATCTTTTGAAAAACTGAATAAGAGAAAAATAAAATGGTTAGCATTGCAAATGAAAAATTATTTGGATTTTTTGCAAAAAAAATATATTGAACATAAAAAAACCAATTATTCAAAAATAAGGTCGTTAATCAAAGAGTAATTAAAATTATTCAGTAAATAATAATTATAAGAAATTAAAATTATTAATTAATTATCTATCTAGATTAAAATGGGTAATTTCAGCAAATAATTTTAAGTAATTAAATTTTGCTGTTAACATTTTTTAATAATAATTAGTATTATTAATATATTAATAATTATGAAATCAGTAATAATAATAAGMATATTATTATTATTAACTAATAATATATTCTTATTATGTGTGCATTGATTTTAAAATCAGTAATATTAAAGTATTATTATTATTATTTTATTATTATTATTTTTATTAAGTAATTAATTTGTTATAAATACAATTTTTAGTTAATTCATAAAATAATATTTGCTTTTGTAATTCTTTAAGTTTAAAAATATTGAATAATAGAAAGTTTTATAATTTAACTTTCACTAAATGAAGTATTTATTAGAGAATAATAATAGAATTAATTATAATTACTTATAATAATATAATTAATTATTTCATATAAATGTATGAATTATAATTTCTGATAATAATTATAATATAAATAATTAGCATTAGATTTTTTGAAAATAATTAATATGAGTTAATATAAATATAAAATGATTATTTCCGAATTATTAATTACCATTATGAAAATATTTATTAATTAATCATCATTTTGACTTAATAATGAGCAATATTGTGAGTAATAAATTATCAGTAATTACTATAAGAAATGATTTTTAGTAATTAATTATTATCAATGAGTAATTATTATTAGTAAATAATACTTGGAATTAATTAATTGGAGGTAGTTAACAATAACCAATCGGTAATTAACAATAATTATCATTAGTAATTAATAGTTGTAATTAATTAATTAGAAGTAGTTAATAGCTGGAATTAATAGATTAGTTTAGTAGTTAACATTAATTAATAACACAATTTCCTTTTTTTTAGGAAAGGATTGAAAGTGAGAGTTTTCCACTTCTCACAACTCTACATGGTGGTAGGCTCCACTGTCCATGTTAGTGGGCTCTTTTCTTGAACTACTATTAATTAGAATTTGACATATCTAGTGGGCTCTGTTCTTGAACTACCACTAATTAGAATTTGACACGTTTCTATTTTGTTTAAATCTTTGTAATGACAGGTGTCTGAATGTAAATGAATCACATGTCTGACTATGGGGAGCTTTGGAATGATAGGCCACTAGGTCGCGCCTATGCCAGGCCGCCAGGTCACGCTAGGTCGGGCACCACCAACTTGGCTAAGGCAAGTTGTTGCCTAAGTGGTTTCGGGTGTCACCTAGTTGTTCCGAGGTGCCATGTGTCACCATGTCAGTGGAGGGCCAAATCCGCCATCATCATTTGCTCCCCACTCCCGATCCGAAAGTAACTCGGCGAAGGGAGCAAATTGCTCCTTTTGGCCTGAAATGACTAATTCGATGAGCTCATAAGCGTCGATTTAATTCCTTAGGCTCTGGGAGCAACTTGCAGTCCACTCTCCTTACCCTTGATTTTGTCCATGCCGAAGAGGCGACTGGGTCTTATGTGGTGCCGAAGTCTTTGCCAATTCAGCACTTTAGCCCTTAGGCTCTGGGAGCGACTCACAGTCCACTCTCCTTGATCTTTAATTTTGCCCATGCCCAAGAGGCGACTGGGTCTTATGTGGTGCCGAAGTCTTTGGCAGTTCGGCACTTTAGCCCTTAGGCTCTGGGAGCGACTCGTAGTCCACTCTCCTTGATCTTTGATTTTGCCCATGCCAAAGAGGCGATTGGGTCTTATGTGGTGCCAAAGTCTTTGCCAGTTCGCGCCTAGGCCAGGTCGCCAGGTTGCGCCTAGGCCAAGCCGCCAGGTCGCACCTAGGCCAGACCACCAGGTCGCACCTGGGCCAGGCCGCGCCAGGTTGCGCCTGGGCCAGGCCGCCAGTTCGTGCTTGGGATAGGCCGCCAAGTCACGCCTGGGCCACGGCTGCGTTGCATCAGCCTCGTTAGTGACGTCGGTTACCCACTCCTACAAGAAGCTACTAGGAGCTCGACCTACGGGGGTAGCACTATTGACTTTAGGTCACTAGCTCGCACGGGAGCCTTGGAAGGCTCGACCGATAGGGGTGTCCATGCAGTCTGTTGGCCGCTTACTCCCGTGGAAGCCACGAAGAGCTCATCTTTGTAGAGGGTACCTCGCGAAGAGGACTGACGAGGCTTTATCCGAGGTGAAATAAAGTTAGTAGAGCTGCTTAGTCTATTGGGCATCAACTTCCTGCATAGTCTTTGAGTTCATAAAAAATGGAAATTAGAAAGTGAGAGCTTTTAGTTTCTAAAAGGTGAGAACTTAGCTTTCTGGGAGAAGAGGACTTGGCCTTTCGGAGGATGAGAACTTAGCTTTTTGTAGTGTTTCCCACAGACGATGCCAATTGATGAATCAAATTTTGGTGATGTATCGATTTTTTGGCTAAGTACCTCGTCATTTGGTCTGAGCTGGGGGCAGATTAGGTGCCGAGTTAACTGGGCTGAGTTGAGCAGGTTAGGTGCCGAATTGATTGGGCCAAGCTAGGCAGGTTAGGTGATGAGCTGACCAGAGTGCCGAGCTGCCTATTAGTTGCTGAGCTGACCAGAGGGCCGAGTTGCCTATTAGGTGACGAGCTGACTAGAGGGCCGAGCTGGATTGATTGTTGAGCTTCGTCGTTCTTTAGAGACTTGCAAGGAATCAATGTCAGAGGACCCAAGGTGGCTGACCCGGGGTGGCTAACTCGGCGAGGTCGCTCTGATGCTTAAGTCAGTACTCTCATAATAGAATGCGAGCTAAAAATCACAAAGTATGAGAGCTTGAATATGCTTACTTGTCCCCCTTATGTCATTGGGGTTGGTGCCTTATATAGGCATTGTTTGGCGTGGGTTTCACGCACCGCATCTGAGATTTCTGAGAAGTCGTCTAAGTGGTCTGAGATTCCCTGAGGCAACCACCATGCACGTTGACCACCCTTAGGATCGTTCAGCACGTGGGCCAACTTCCAAGGATCGTGGGAGTGTTAGAATATGCATGCCGAATTTGTTGGGGAGCACGTCTCGCACGACTCGCAGGTCGCCAGGTTGGTGCCTGTGCCAGGCCACCAGGTCGGCGCCTGTTCCAGGCCGCTAGGTTGGTGCCTGTGTCAGGCCGCCAGGTCGGCGCCTGTGCCAGGCTGCTAGGTCGCACCCTTGCCAGGCCGTCAGGTCGCGCTTGTTCCAGGCCGCACCAGGTCGTGCCTGTTCCAGGCCGCACCAGGTTGCGCCTGTTCCAGGCCGCCAGGTCGCGCCTGGGCCGCCAGGTCGGACACCACCAACTTGGCTAAGGCAAGTTGTTGCCTAAGTGGTTTCGGGTGTCACCTAGTTGTTCCGAGGTGCCATTTGCCACCATGTCAATGGAGGGCCAAATCCTATATATATATGGCCATGCTAGGCTGTACCACGGGTTAGGCTGGGTCGGCCCAAGCCGTGCCAGCACATGGGCTATGGGCGGCGCTTCCTGCTTAGTCGTGCCATATTGTAACGACCCATGAACATGAAACCCTAAGCCCAATATGGTCCATATGATTGTGTTGTGCTAACACTTTGCAATACCACTCGATTTACAGCTCTATTCATAATCCATGGAAAAAAGACAATTTTGTAGAAAAAGATCGGAAGAGTAAAGATAAATATAATCGAAGCAGAAAGAGAGTAGGGATTTTGATTAATCATGTGTATGGGAGGGTTTTGAAACTTAAGTAAATAAATGAGAAGGCTTAAATAAGTGAATTAAGGAAAGAATTTATAGTTGAGTAAGATTAGGCAATTTTGTTAATTAAAAAAATAAGGATAAAAGATTTAATCATATCCTAAGTTTCATAGTTTTTTTTTTTTTTTCAAATAGACTTAATTATACGTTGACCCATTTGATTTAAACATACCCTCTATCAATGAAAAAGCATATGTGAAGTCATTTAAATTTTTTAAAATCTGATTTTGCACTTTTGCACCTTTGGACAGTGTCTTAGCAAATGTGGTTTGCATAAACCTAYCTCCATGAGCCTGGTCCACTGGCCACGAGTCTCGATAGATAACAGCATGTGCTCTCTTATGTCCACTTGGCATTGTTTTTTCCTCACGATGATGGAACCAACGGTAACCATACGAAGAACAAAATATCAAAACAAACAACCAATCGCAGCTCTCGTTGAAAAGAAAAGAAATCAATACCCGTTAGAGTTTACAGGCTTACAGCTTACTGACTCGCTTGCTTCGAGTTCGAGCTGTTCCACACTGCAAATTAATTCCAAGGAAATCAAAATCTATTCAAATGCTCTCCCTCACATCGCCTCTTATTGGCCATGACCCCTTCTTTGTTCATCACAGAACTCCAAGATTCCATTTTTACAGCCGACGAAAAACTAATTTTTTCCGAATCCGATCGTCCTCGGGCTTGCAGAAATCACCTAGTTCGAAAGTGGGAGATTTAGATTCTCATCTATATACCTCACTTTCATTTCCTTCGATCACTGCATCAAAGAGGGTCGTTTTGGTGAGGCATGGGCAGAGTACTTGGAACGAGGAAGGTCGGATCCAGGGCAGCTCCGACTTCTCCGTTCTCACCCACAAAGGCGAGTCTCAAGCAGAAACGTCTCGGCAGATGCTTATCGATGATAGCTTCGATGTCTGTTTCACCAGGTTAGAAATAATTTTGTTTTCTACTCGTCCTTAATTTCGAGTTTATCATTGTCCGCGCACGCAGTTCAGGATTTCTCAATTACTAAAATGCTGGCTTTGAATTTTTAATATATAAAGAATCTCTTTGATGAGACGATGAGTTTCTGCTTTTCCTTGAATGCTCTTACTGTTTACAATTATWTCTTTTATTTCTGACTCTCCTGGTTGTTTTTGAAACACTATTTTTTTTTAATTCTTTCAGTTCCTTATTTATGTGTTCTTTGTAACTTTAAAAATTCTTTACAGATTGAAGTTTAAGGAAGAATTCTTCATTATGGCCGGACATTCTTTCTACTTGCCAGCTTAAAAGTTCCAAGAGAACTGCTTTCATTTCGGTTTTGGTTTGGACATTTGCACATTCTTGTATGTTAGTTAAAATATGTTTTTTCCTTTCTTATAATGACACAATTAAGGATTTTATCTGTGCCAGCCCCCTGATTAGATCAAAGAGAACGGCTGAAATTATATGGGGTGCACGCAAGGAGGAGATGATTCCAGAATATGGCCTCAGAGAAATTGATCTTTATTCATTCCAAGTTAGTTTGATTTCTGAGTTTATATTTTGAAACAAATACAACTATTGGTGATATCTAAGCTTTCATTAGTCCTGATATGTCAATAACGACCTTAGGTCACTGATTGTTGATGGACTTCAGGGTCTACTGAAGCAAGAAGGAAAATCAAAGTTTGGTAATGCTTACCGTCAATGGCAGATAGATGCTGCAAACTTTAACATAGATGGTCATTATCCAGTGAGAGAGTTGTGGGCTCGTGCTAGAAACTGCTGGGACAAAATCCTAACTCATGAAGGAAAGTCTGTGCTCGTGGTTGCTCACAATGCAGTTAATCAAGCTCTTGTTGCCACAGCAATCGGTACTTTACTCCCCTTTTATTGTTATTTAACTGTTGAAGCTTATGAAAGATCAGTCTGACATGAAGTTTTTTACTTTATATTTTTATCAGGATTAGCCACTGAATATTTCAGGATTTTACTCCAGAGCAATTGTGGTGTGACTGTGCTTGACTTCACCCCACGGTCTGAAGGTGGATCTCCATATATCTGTCTCAATCGCTTAAATCAGGTAGAATCCCAATTTATGTATTAGGATTTCAAACCATAGATTGTGTAACCTTGTTAGCACATCGCTTGCTGTATTTAACTCACCAAGAAGAGGGCAATAAGGTTTTGCCTATGTTCATAGACACACTAAACTGATCTTAGTAGAGGAAACAAGGGGTGTCCATTAATTTCTGGTTCGACTTATTTAAGCTGCTTTAGGTTTCATGCCTTTGTGATTTTTACTAATAATATGTCCATGTTAACTGCTTCAATCCTCTACATTGATTTACATTTACATTCCTAATGATTTTAGTTTTTCCTGATTCGTTGATGGTTCAGATTGATTCCATAATCAATGCCAGTGCAAACACAAATACTTGGATCATAGATTTTCTTTTTGTTTTTCTTTCCTTTTTGTCATAACCATTAATTGTGAGTCTTTTCCCAATGAAAAATTCTGGCACCAAGAACATTAATCCAGTCCAGTCATCACATGAACCCTCTTTGTTGGGTATGCTAAGCAATGGAAGTACTGAATGACATACTATTTTGGTTGTACGGAGAAGAGACTAAAATTCCATTTGCTTTATTAAGTTCCTTTTAAACTGCAGTAGTGCATATAAGGACTTTTCAACAGCAGCAGTTCGTGGTTTATGAATAGCTTTAATATGAAAAACAAAGATGTTGCAAAGATTTAGGAATTGATGATTCTTTCTAGTCCTAGAACCTTGTCAGAAGACACTACGACTTTACAAATAACATRATTTTGGCCTAGATTGTATGCATTTTGAAGTATCTTAGAGTTTTGATTAGGATGGGTTGCTTATAAAAAAAGAGATGGTTACATCACTATGAATAGGGAATGCAATGACACTTTTTCTTGTTGTCCTTTATTAATTTGATTCCTCTATAGATATGTAGCTGGTTTAGAATTTCATTGAAGTATAACATGCTGGTAAACTAAAGTAATTTTGGTTGTTACCAATTCTGATTATTTCTTACAATTCCATAGTTTTTAAGTCTGGTACATTAAAGTAAATTAACTGGTGACCAAAGTTTAACAACGATATATATGACTTAAATCTGGTGTGATTAAGCAAGGAACTTGCATTATGCAATAAGCCAATAACACTGAATAAGCAGTGCCTAGTCTGAGTAAACTATGTTAAACCAATGCCCATGTAGTTTGCATGATATCATCTGCAATGATTTGAACAAGATTATCAGTTCCTACTTCAGTTCCTTGGTTCAGTTGATCTGTGTGAAGTGGACATTGAAGCTCATTTTCAAGTGTAAAAATGTAGAGAGAATTTTGTGGGTCAGTTGGAGGTGCTATATGGGTATCACCTATGACCATCTATGTCAGCAGTGGGGACTGAATATAGGCCAAACGTGTTTAGACTTCAGTGTTTGTCCTTATATTTTACAGAAGTCATTTCTTATATTAAAGAAGTTGGTTGGTTTGGATTTTACAATTTCTCATCAGTACCATGAAGTTTTTCTGCATGGAAATGATGAATTTTAAAATGGTGTTATTGCAGACACCAAATTCACCCATAGCAGCAGGGAGTTTTGGAGGTAGAAAAACCAGCAAACGGATCATACTAGTCTGTCATGGTTCTACAGAGAGCAATGTGGAGGTAAGAAACAGGTGATGTTCTTTTATTGGTAACAATAAAAAATCTGTTAGATAATGGAAAAAGAATGGTATACACAAATGATGTGCAAACACTGCATTAGTTGGCTTACCACCACTAGCCACCCATCTTTTTTTTTACAATTTCCATTTAAGGTTATTTTTGGTTTGATAGAAAATAAGAGAGAAACAGAAAGTTGAGGGTAAGTTCTTGAGGAATTTCACAATACAGTTGACTTCAATTAACTCCTTTTCCTTGTCCATCAGCCTAACTGTTGGCTGACCTAGGGATCCGATTGAATCTTGTTCTCAGCTCCATAGCCAGTTGCCTAATTTCCCTCATGAAGTATGTAAAATCCTAGGAACTGTTTTTCATCAACCAGCCCAAATTGTTTTTGAGTCCTCCACTAGTCAGTGTCATAAGGAACAGGTGACTTCATTTTAAGAGTATACAATTACGTTATAAATCACTGGTTTATTACAAATATTCTCTGTATTCCTTCAATTTTCCTTTCTTGGTTTGGTAGATATTTCCATGTACATTGGGCTGAATGGGTAGCATCTGCCTATCCTATCTTGACAATTGTTGTGCTTCTTACGAGGACAGAAGTGGCAGTTATTCTGAGTTATGAACCAGGCTCAAGCATATTAGGTTTTAGCAATATGGCAATTGGACTTGGAAGTGTGGATTGGTGTACTATTTCAAAATCTATCTTTGTACTACCAATCTATAAGACCTCCATGATACATTTCCAAGATGTAAGAGCTGCAGGGTACTTATTCAAGGATTCAACCTAGGATATAATGGGACCAAAATTAAATTGTGTATTATTCCCAATCATTGGACCTTTCCCTGATTATACTACTCTGACTGTTCAAATAAATACAAATGGTTAAGTAGGTTAGTTGTTTATGGGGCTTTTCTGGGCCATCCTTCTACCTTGTAGGGCTAAGTAGGTCATGAGCACATGCACTATTTTTGGAATTGCTCTTTTACAAGGTTTAGGTGAATTTTGGGTGATTGTAGGCTGGCTAGCATCAAGAGCAGATAGTCCTTGGGCTATTAGCTATTTTCTGAGAGAAGTAGAATCATTAGCATCCATTCTAAATATCTTGTTGAGGTGAGGTTTGCAACTTGGGCAGGCCTTGGTTGAGAATTTGTTAAATTTATAAAGGGCCTAGGATGATGTGGTGGAACTTCTTCAAATTGGTTATATTTTCACCCCTAGTTCAGGTGGATACAAGATTCTGCTAACAGCCTTGCTGACTCACTTGCCAGGGCAGGAGTTACTAGAGGGGAACTAGAATGGGAGTTCCAGGGCCAGGGGCTAATTTGTAATATTTGTATTTTCAACCACTTGAGTTTTCTTTATTGAATCAGATTTGAGCTGTTTGCTTTGTCAGTCTTCATCTATACAGTGAAGACTGATGGGGAAGTTATTCCTACTTATATTATTAAAATTCCCTTAATTGCTATTGCTGATAAAGAAGCATGCTGTGTGACTACAGAAAGTCATTCTTATCATACTGATCTATAAGTATAGTCAAATGAATGCAATGCATAATTCTCATGTAGAGTTGTTTGTTATAAAAATCACATGCTTCCTATATTGATGATAAGCACTGCAACTGATATGTTTTACTCGTGAAAAAATTTGACATATTCAGTTTAGACTTAAAAGAGAAATAGAAGAGAAGAGGAAGAGATGACAGAAGAGAACAAAGAAGAAAAGAATGTTGAGAGGGCAAAAAATTATGAGGCGGCAGCCTTTATTTCACTTATAAGGGAGATCTATATTGATATAAAAAATGACCAGAATGCCCCTGGGTGTAAAACATCCCAAATAAGAATATAAAACTGGAAATAAAAACAGGTGAATATGGATAACTCATCTTTCAACAATTTTCTTCTTCTTCTTCAAAAAAGTTCTTATTTAAGTTCTTTGTGAAGTAGCACTATTATTGATCCTCCCTCTTGATTTGAAATCAAGACTTTAACAGTGCTGTATAAAATGCTCTCAACCATTCATAGTTTTTTCTACAGGCTACTTTTCCACTTTCTGGAGACAGGCCAATGAACATGCTTGGAGTCATACAGGTAGGCCATATTTGCCAATTGCATTTAAGAGCATCTTATTAATTTTATATATGTCACTTAGGACACATGGGTTCTCATGGTCTGATTTTCTCTGATGCACGTATTACAGTCCCAAAAAGTTGCAGAACTACTTCTAGATTTGAAAGTGAACTCAATAATATGCAGTCCTCAGATTGCCTCTATTGAAACAGCAATTGCCATCTCCAAGGTAAAGCTTTTCAATGCTATTGATCTTGTGTCATATATCTCCAATTTCCTCAATGAAGATGTATTTAATTTTTCTCCCAGAGTTCTCTATTTATTCCAACTGGCAGACTTGGTTGTAGGTACAAGAAGCTGCAGATTGCTTGGGTGCTGATTGTGTGCCTCGATATGTAGAGATGAAGCATGTGCGAGACTTGGAGGTTGAACACATCCTTCATAAATTAAAGAAGGTAAGGAATCGGAATTTGTTATTCGAAAATTTCATTAGAAAAACACTAATATTTCTCTTTCTATTTAGTTATATCTGACAAAGAACTAAGGCTATGTTTGGTTTGAAGGAAAAGGTAGGGAAAGGAAGGGAAAGATGAAACCTTTTTGTAAAGGTTTCCCTACCTTTCCCTTCCTTTCCCTACATTTTCCTTCAAACCAAATATAGCCTAAACGTTAACCTTAGAAATGGACTTAAAGTGGACATGAGTGAGGCTCAAGCCAAAACATGGTTGACTATATAAACTGGTGTTTCGATATTAATAATCTGAATGTTGTAGACTGATTATTCAAGGTTTTTATGCATTTTGATAGGGAAAATAATTCCAAGACCCAATATATGACAAAATTTTCATCCAAGTCTAACCATACTCAGTTTTTAAAATTGGCAAACTTTAATTTTCACCTCCCCTTTTCTTCACCATGTGTCACATCTCTAGTTATAACTAGATCAGGATGAACTCCAACTTTGTCTTCTTCTTCTTCTCATCTCTGTAACTGTCCCTAGTGTGGCAGAAACTTATAATTGAACATTCATACCTCTTGAACAGTCATGGTGATGGTGAAGGAATTTGCCATTGTGCAACAATAATCTTTGTCATTATGGATATCATATACTTCTGTCTCTGTATGTGTAAGGTTCATAATATTGTGGTTGCCATAGTCATGGCAGGGGTCATCTTCCCCTACAACTGTACAACAAAATACCTTTTAATATTTATGCTCCAAAGCTCTTTTTGATGGAACTTAGTAGGGCTCTTTCATTTTCATAAATTAAATTTCTTTTACCAACAAATCTCTTCTATCTCATTAAAGGATTTTGGCAGCTACCTAGTGTGCTGGTGCATGCCTTTTAAATCCATGTATTGTGATGTTATGTTCAAACTGAGGGATGATGGGACTTTATTCCCATCTACGTTGATTAACTGGAAGCTACATAGTTTAGGTAGTGCTCTTTCTTTAGGTTTCTAAGTTGATTCTTGGACCTTTTTGAATCCATGTGTGCTACTATTATGTTCAAACCAAAGGATGATGTATCTTCATTCCAATTATTTTGATTAACTCTAAGCTACCTAATTAGTGCATTGCTCTTTCTTCAGGTATTCTAAGTTAATTTTTGGGATCTAACTTGTCTTTCTTTTTCTGTTATTTATCATAGAATGCATCTGAGTTTGCACATCTTCATCCTGGTTGGTTAAATGGATTAGAAGATAGAATCATGTCAGAATTATGGGGTCAGTCAGAAAAAGCCTGGAATTCACTTTTAGATGAATTGTCCGAAGAAGCAGAGCAACAACAAAATGTGGTAGTTGTTGGACATCCTGCAGTTCAGATTGCATTGATAGGGCACTGTCTAAACCTGACAAAAGAATGGATGGGTTCATTTCATCTTGATGCTGCTAGCATTAGTGTCATTGACTTCCCTGATGGACCCACTGGAAGGGGCGTCATCCGATGCATAAATTACACTGCTCATTTGGGTAGGTGGTCAATACCTGTAACAAGGCCAACAGTGGATGATGAAGAGTTTTAGCTGTAAATATGTACATGTTCAGAACATAACTTGATCAGCTCAAGGAGATTCTTCTGATTCACATAGTGAAATTTGAAAATGGGATTCAACCAATAGATGCATTATAGACAATACTCATTGTAAGATTTGACATGTGATTTTTTTTTGGAAGGCAACATGGAAATTCTTGATAATTTAGGCCCTGTTTGGTTTGCGGGAATAGGGTCTGGAATCAGAATCGGAATGGGCTATTCTGATTTCAGCTGTTTTGGTTGGGCAGAATCGGAATCCCATTCCCATTCCTGGTGGAATGGCATTCCCCCATTTGAGGGAATGGCCATTTCCTACCCCTCCCTTGGGAATGAAATCTCATTCTTGCTGATTCCAATTTACATTTCTATTTCTGTCTGAACTAAACAAACTATGGGAATAGACCATTCTGATTCCAATTCTGAAGGATTTTATTTTCAATTTCGACTGCAAACCAGACGGACCCTTAGTTTCAAACTTGAAAACAGTATTAGTGCATCGGGAGAGAGAGATGAAGGATAACAGATTTTATTAAACTAGAAAGCGGTACATGAGACGATGTACAACAGGAAGCACACACAGATAACAGATTACAAAGGCATCTGTAAAAAGCCCCTATTGACACCCGATTTGGCCAACCAGTTTGCTACTGAGTGAGCCTCCATGGTCCACCGTTCTTCTCCCCTATCCATCCAATGGTGTTTCTCGAGTCTCCTTTGATGACAAGGGAAGACAGTCCAAGGATTCTTGCTATCCGGAGACCAGTTAGTACTGCTAGCACATCAGCCTTTGTAGAATCTGCCATCCCAATTGGTCCGCTATAAGCCCATAGTAATTTCCCATCCCTTCCCTTAAATATGCCCCCGATCCCAGCTAAACCAGGGCTTCCAAGAGTACTTCCATCAAAGTTTTTAAAGAAGTTGGAGAAGAATGCAACATCTCCATACTCTCAAAAGTCAAAATATGTGGACTGAAATATTGTAAAGAATTGTAAGAAAATTCCCCTAATGCTAAAATTAAATGACCTTAAATAAGGTTCTTTACACATTTGCTTCCAATCTTTTATTTTTGCAATGGGATTTACTTACGTACCATAGAACTGGTCCCACATAGGTGATCATCTACATAAAAAATATCAGATATCTCATTTCTGCCTTGAGGCTATTGTTGATTCAAGATTTGAAGCATTCTCTGCTTTCTTTGCAATCCTCTTAAAACGTCGAAGGCTAGAAATGATGTCATTTTTAAAGGCATGCAGGGATCAAAATCATTCTTATTCAAGAACTGAAGGAACTCTTGATGCTAGTTGCGGTTGATGTACGAAATACGTAGCATTTTGTTTGGATGAGTTTAGAAAGGAATAGATCACTATGAATAGCTAAGGGGCTGTTTGGCAAGCCTTTTGTAAGTAGATCTTTCAACAGTCCAGTAGACAATAAGATGGACTAAGTTTTTGAGGTCTTGTCTTTAAAGATCAAGATTGTTTGGTTTGTGTTATGGTCTACTGGCCAGGCTGTTAAAAACAGTTGGGAAGGCTATTTTCAGCATGGAAAAACCAAAAGCTTCATTTGAAGATTCCTAATTTTTTTTGTTTTTTTGGTCTTTCCGCATGGCTTGTCTTTGCATCTTTCGGTTTACAACATATCAAAAGGAAAAAAGGCCATTTTTTGGTCTTTTGAGCTTCCCACAGACCGAAAGACACCAAACACCACCTTAAATTTCTGGATTTTTCGGTTCACTCAATTTATTTTAAATAAAATATATGAAAAAATATAAATCATCTTTTAAAGCTATTTTACATTAAAATAGAAATGTTGGTCAATGGGATTTTTGATTGACCAAGAAACCCATGCTCTTTTTGACTTACATGGGATCCACAAAAAGTTTATTTTCCTTAGATATCACTTACCCCTTTGGGTAAATAACTTTGCCACCTGGGGGGAAGTAGACCTGTTCATGGGTCAGGCTTCGGGCCTAACTTTACATTGCATCGGGCTTGGGCTTTGGACTGGTTCCATTCAAATTTCGGCAAAAGCCAAGCTTGAACCCGGCCCATGAACAGGTATAGGAGGAAGTTGCTAACACTTAGATGGAACAAAATTATCCCTTTTAATAATGGCTTTTTATGGCTAAAATAGTCATTGTTTTATTTACCGGGGAAATAAAAGAACATAGATAAATGCACTTTCCTAGATAAGTAACGTCCCCAAAAAACAAACAGGCCTGAATAATGGAAAATAATCTTGAGAACAAAAATTTAAGAATAATAGCATGGGCGAAAACCTTTATTTTTTCTAGTTGATCTTCGAATTTAGACAATATATTGGGCATTCTTATATTTATTGTTCTTTTTTAGCTCAATTTTTTTTTTCCTTTTGAATCATCAGAACTCCTAATTTATCCATTGTCTTGACTCACATGGTGGGAATTCTCTACTCTAAATTGGCATGATATACCAAAGAGGTATTGCAATAAGCTATTTTACATGAAATCTCATCAGACCCTTTCTTGTATAATATAAGCTTTGGATTATAACTATCAACTACATTGTTTGTTGATCAAAAGAAACTTCGACTGTAACAAAACAAATCTAACAAAGTAGAAAAGCAATAGCTAGAATGCTAATTTTCTCTCTGTAAATATCGATCTCTATGAATTATGGCCTATGGATAACTTAACTGACAAGACGGGGAAGAACAGTGGCTGTAAAGATGTTGGCAAGAATCTGGTAAGTGGCTTGAGTTGGATGAACAGCGTCCCAGAAGACGAATTTTGAAGCGTCAGGGCACACCGGCGTTGCACTGTTGCACATACCACCCATCTCCACCAGTCCCATTCCGCAGCATCCTCTCCTTGTTTCCACAAACCCTAGTACAAAATTTGATTCATTGTTGTTAGAACTAATAACTTAAATCTATTGATCCCTCATTCACTTTCAGTCAAGACAGTAGTTCTCAGCAGCACTCACCATATTTCCTAGGGTTGGAGATCATGTCCAGCAATGGATTGTAGATGTCGATGTACGCGAACCGGGAACCAGGGAGCGTAGCTTGCAACCTCAACACAAGAGCCTGGAGCTTGGCGTTATATGCCTGGGAGTCTTGATTTTCTTCAGCATTACAAGCCCTCTGCAGCAGATGGCCCCCCGGCATTGACAGTATGCTTTCCACCGTCTGTTGCACCGGCAGACACCCGACTGCGGCAGCCCCGATATTGAGAACCTTCGTGCTCCCATGCTGTAAAGTCTCTGCATTAACACAAGTTAACCACTTCATATCATACGTCAGAGGAGGATCAATATTATGAAAAGGTTGAGACAGAGAAATAGAGATTGAATGTATCTTGTCACTCACCATAACGAAGGACTCCAAATTTTGGAGCAGAAAATCATGGTATGCCGGAAGTGAGAACTGACCCCTCCTCGTTGGTAGATCGTAGAAGTTAAATATCATGTCATCAGTTCCGACACCGATGGCAAACAAAGCGTCTTCCACTATGCGACTGGGAGCCTCCCTCCCAACGGTACCCTGCATCCGAGCCAAGCTTTGCTCGAAGTAGCGCAACTGCGTCGACATGTGAGCCACATTGGAAATGGTCGCTGTCAAGTCGTCTATGTGCCGGCTGATGCAAAGCTATTTCCGGTGAGCAAGTGAAGATTCCATCGGTGAACCTCCCGGTTGCGATGTGGCCGGGGAAGTCACGTCCATACGGAGGATGATAGCCTCGGAAGAGTGTTCCGAGATGGTTGTTGTTGTCGGGGTCCAGTGTTGAGTCGCCGAAAGCAAAAACAACGGATATTTTACTCGGTGCCGCGGCATTGAGAGAAACAACTAGAAAGAGAAAGGATGCAGAGAAGAATAAGAAGATGAAGAAAAAAGGAAAACTCGAGTTGATCGATCTCGGCTCGGTTCGGTTTCAGCCGAGATCGGCTCGACTCGGTTTCAGCCGAGCTCGAACTCAATTTAGTGATTCGATTATTAAACGAGCCGAGCTCGAGTCTATTAGAGCGAGCCGGCTCGAATATATATATAATTATAGAAAATTAATATATATAATAAAAATATTATAATTATTAATTATTATAATTCTTATTTTTTTAAATATAAAATAAAAAACTTTTTTATATATGATTTTTATTTTTATAAAACATTTTTTCTAAATATTTTTATAAAATATAAAACGAGCCAAGCCAAACCAAATTCAAACTTATAAACTTTTGACTCGAGTTGAGTTCGAGCTCAAGGTTTTGGCTCAAACCGAGCTCGAGCTCGAGCTCGAGCTTTATAGAATAGTCTCGAGCCGAACTCAAATTAATACTATTCGGCTCGGCTCGGCTCGAATCCACTCCTAGCCATGATCGATGGTAAATTTTTACACTATGCCTTACCTAGCTTAATTCTTGTTGTGATGATTATAATCCTTAGAATAAATACTAGGGTAAGCTTTCAGAGTTTGTGTTGAATTACTATCCATGATCTTGTATTAATTCTTATTAGACTCAGACATGGAGTTCGAGTTGTATAATTTGTTTGGGTTCCTAACCAATTAATTAATGTTTACATGCAACAACCGTCACGGATTGAAATGGAATGGAATGGAAGAATCCTAACTTGACAGGACTCCGGATCTGCTACAAATAAAGCGTTTACAGTGGGCTATGTAACCTAATCACGAGCAAACACGTCAGTCATTTATGATATTATCTAGCATTGTCAACCAACTTTAAACTATGGGAAATCAAAAGTGTAAGAAGCATATCAGGATATGTCTTGGATACGCATGCGTATTAGAGAAAAAGTAAGATACACATAGATACGCTTAGAAACACTATAAATACTTTAATAAATCATAAAAATACATCAATAACACTAAATATAAGACCTCAATGAGGTGTATATATATTAAATTAATATATTTTAATGGTTTTATGAAGAAATATATTATAGTTAATTATGATTTCATTAAAAATCTTATGCTTAACTATAATTTATAAATTATAATTCTTAAGTTTTAATGTTTTACAGGATTGGAAAAACCCAACTCTCCTATCCAACCATAAAATATGCATTGACACAACTTCTAAGTGAAAATATAATMAATAATTATTTATTATTTATTTCCAAAAATTATAAAAAATAAATAAATATTATATAATATATTAAAAAATAGTTATTAAAGAAGAAATTTCAATTGGTTTGTGGATATGATAGATCATCTATAGAATTATAATGTATTCAATTGTTGTGATCAAGTGATAAAATATAAATAATTATTATTTATTTTTTAATTCTAAAAATATAAAAAGTCAAAAGAAATACTAAAGAAGAATTTGCAAGTGCTCTATGGATATGATAGATAAATCCATAGATCTAAAACATATTTAGTCTTTATAGGCAGAGAAAAATTACATTTTCAAAATTTTTATTAATTTATATTTTCCTCAAATATCTTCATGAAATTTCCATCAATTTATTAATAACACAAAAAAATTATGATTTTGAATGTAAGAAATGTAGATCAACATAAATTTAAACATTCAAGAAAAAAGAAATCACAAGATATTATAAAAAATTGAAAAAATTTACCTATTTTTGCCATATTTTTTTTAAAATTTGTAAAATTTTCAAAAAAATAATGATTCACACTTGTTTCTTGTAAATTTTTGCAAATTTAACACTCTAGGAATGAGGTTTAGAGTTTTAGAGTTATTTGGGGATGAAAGAAGGCTTATTTTAGGGAAAAGAAGCTTGCTTTTCCCCTTTAATTTTTTTTCTAGTTTTTGGCCGTATCCTTTTCGTTGATACGCCCCAATACGCCCCGATACAGGTCCAATACTTATGAAAAAAGTTGAGACATCCGATTTCCACGCGTATCCCGTATTTGTTTTTCAAAGATACGATACAATACGCCCATATTGAGTGTATCAAATCGAAATTTTAAACCTTGCTGTCAACTTGCGTGTTTTCTCATAATTGGGTGGGTGGTGTAACCCCTACTACACACAGTTTGCGTTGCATGACCAATCAAGAGTATACAATGGCCTACAGAAGTGACACGTTCACTCTTGAATGATGTGCCGTTTGGAAAGTTTTTTTTAGCAGATTTGACAGTCAAATTACAATGTGAACTTTTGCATTAAGATCTTAGCAACTTGAAGACCATTTGATTAAGGTGTATTTTTCTATGTTTTTTCATGCGAAAACAAGTTGAAAAAAAGGCAAAAAACTCAACTTGAACCTTCGGGCTTCTCACATCTTTTAAAAGGCAACAATCCACGCAAAAAAGATACACTAAATGTGGCCTAAGTTGAAAGAGCATATATAAAGAAAAGAAAGTGGATAAGTGCTTACTTAATTTGTTCTAGAAAGGCTAAAGATTTTTCTTGAAAAGGGTCCTTCAAGTGGCTAGAAAGTAGCAACTGATGCTTAATATAATGCATTCCCTTTCTCGACACTGTAGGGATGTCAGTGGATCGGGTTATGTGATTCAATGGGGTACGGAATGGGTCAATCTTCATCGGGTATAGGGGTGGCAATTGAATGGATTTGGGTTGAACTTTAACCCAATCCATTCAACCCGCAAACCCACTAATGATTCATTAAGAGAAATAAATGGATTGGGTTGAACCCAAATCCACCTTGACCCAACTCAATCCGTCCAACCCATTAATTTTTTAAATTATTAAAATATAAACAAATGAAAAAAATATTAAAAATTACGAGAAGATATAACAAAAAATATAAAAAATGTGGCAAATTAAAAAATAATAGAAATCTTAGAAACATAACAGAAAATTACAAAAAAAAAACAAAATTTAAGAAAGAACTTTGTCCATGATTCGAAATTCTCTTCACTCGTGCTTTGGCTTTCAGCAAGATTTGAGAATCATTACACAGCAAAATGTGATGTAGGATCCGATATTTTTGTGACTGAAATAATAAATTAAAGAGATTGACAACTGATTTAATGATTAAATAATCTTTACATCTGGCGTAGTAGAAGATAATTGGGTTAAAAGAACAAAACAAAGTCTAAAAAAATGAAAGATTCTAGATTGCTTATTCTAACATGTTTTGGCTTATTTTGCTTGTAAATCAAAACTATGGATCTGCTACAATTCTTCCAGGAACTCTCATGTACATCTTACGGCGTTAAGTAAATAAAGCTGCTTTCTTTTGTTAAAAAAAAACATAATGAAAGAAAGATAAATATATATGATCGGAACTATTGAGATCATAACCGTTTTCTTTTTTTTTTTAATTTTTATTGTTTAGTCTACCTCAACAAATCTTAATCCCACACTACAGGTGGAATGAATCCTGACGGTGGATTGATGCCAAATCCAGGGGTAAGATGCAGTTTATAGGGGAACTACTACTAGATTAGAAGGAGATTGTAATTTCAGATTTCTGAGATGAAGTACAGTCTACTTATCCCCCAAAAATGAAAAAAAAAACCCAACTGAGATCATAAGCTAACGATTGAGCCGATAATTGCCTTATAAGCCAAGAAAATGGTTTGCAATTACATTCAGTTAGGCTTTGAAGCAAGGGAAAATTATAATAACTTCACCGGATTCTATTGGCAATTCTACTAACATCCTGATCATCACAATAATATTCCCTAATATTTTGAAAAATGGTGTAAATACTTTCCTTCTATTGAACGAAAACTAACGTAATGTTCATTTTTTTTCTTCAAATTTCAAATATACCCTTGGTTATCTCTACTAAAAATTTACTAAAATACCCTAATGTGCCCATCTCCCTTGATGTAGGCACCTAAATGGGTGCAGGCTGATACAGACGGAGACTAAGGTTGCATCATTAACTTTCACACAATGCATTTGCGTCAAGTGGATGTGGAACCAAAAGTAAAAAAAGGGCTGAACATGACAAATCCAAAGCTTCCTTGATCATCTCATTCATGCAAATTCCAAGCAATGGGACAGTTCATCCGGCATACCAACTGGACTATCCCTCACTTGGTATGCTGGTTCGAATTGGAGATATGGATTTTGATGGTATTCGAACTGCTCGAAGAGCTTCGAGTGAGAGCGGTGAGCAGCCTGAACCCTATGAAAGAGATGATGACAGAGAGCCTGGGTTGTGAGCTTAGGTGAGGAGGCTCCAACATTCAAGTTAGTGCTGAGTTGGGCAGACAAAAAAAATAATTCTGAGCAGAGAGAGCAAAGAGATCTATAATATCTTATTAGAGAGCCTCCCTTGTGAAAGTGATGACACCTCCTTTTATAGAGTTGGGGAATGATCAAGGCGCTCCTAAGATTCTTGAAAGTCATGGATCTTGGTGTACGGATTCTTAGGGGCTCATGGGAGCGTTATCTGGACGAGCCATTTGCCATTTCCGTCGGTTGCTCGATATGTTCATGAGGATCTTGGAGATGTTAATTGCTTGGAAGTGCGTTTCCCATGCTGATGTGGCAGGTTGGGGTCATTCTACCGAAATGTTAATATGTGTCTGAGTCGCCGGATATCCCGAAGAGCCCGAGGTGGAATCCATGTCTTGGGTGGCTTTGATTGACCGTTGTGGACGATGTACTGAGGTCACTTGAGGATACACAAATCCATCCTAATGACAGATGCTTTCCAAGGTCACTCATGCAAGTCCCGAGATCTCCGAGGTGGTGTGGCGCCAAGTGGCCAATGTATCGATTTTGCCCATAATCAGTTTTTTAACAGCAGCGTGAATGGTTAGGGCAGCATCAGGTGTTGTGCAAGAGCGGACTACGAACATGAAGCTGCAGTTATCGGGGGTGTCTCTATCGGAGTGGAGAATCCGGTTAAACAAGTAAGGTCGTTGAGGAGTTGAACGGTTGATCCTTTTGAGTGGGCTCTCATTATGGAATTCAAGGCGAAGGAAACAGTTGGATCTTTAGATAGATGGAGGAATTGGTTGGAACAAGAGCTATAGAAGTAACAAATTGGCTGCAATTGCTTTGGTTGCAGCAAAAGGGAAGGAAAAATTTATGYTGCCGGAAAGACATGATATTCGAAGAATTTTAATCAATAAATCCTTAATTGAATTTTGATGCATACCACCCGATTGGCCACTATTTTTACGATATTTATTGATTTTTTTTAAAAAGTTTTTCTGTTATCATGTTTTCTTGGCATCATAGTTGAATCCAAAAACAAAAAGGAAGAAAGAAGGTGAATAAAAGAAGAAAAATATGAAAAGAAAAGAAAGGAAGAAGGAAAATAAGAGATTGTAAGAAAACCAAGAGTAAGAAGGTGCAACTCATGGTGATATTTCACTGGTTCGGTTGCAAAACCAAGAAGAACAAAGATAATCAATGGTTTGATCACCCCTCCTCACTCTGAATTCGAATTAGTTGAACGTAATGGCTGTTACACTGGCTGTGGAACGAATGATGAAGTTCCACGCCAGTAATAAAATATATGAGGCCCGCAGCTATCACATTGAGGGCACCATTGTGATAGGTGCGGGCCACGTATAGCTAGCCGAACGGTCATGACGTTCAGCCAAATCTTGTTCTCTCACTATAAAGTGTGGAAGAAAAATAGGGTAAATTACCCCTCCCCCCTAATATGACCGTGAGACAAAAACCCCCTTAACCGTTTAGTCAGATGAAAGAATGCGTTTCTTCTCTTCTTTTTCCTCCCTCACCATCTCTCTCGTTCTTTTTCTCTCCCAACTATCCTCGAACATGAATCATCATCTCCCCTAGGGCCCTCCTACAGCACTTGCGGAGCCACCAGAGCCGCCTCCCCTGCAACAGTACTTGCAGTTGCAGAGGTAAGCCAAACTCAAAATACATTTGATGATAACAATCCTTTCGGCGTCACGCCCCGACCTAATGCCGCTGCTAATCCTTCCTTTACCGATGGCGTTGCCACCAAGGACATCCACACAGATGCCTTCACCTCCCTCTCCGTTCAAAACTCTCATAAAGTAAAAAAAAAAAAAAGAATAAAATGAAACAGGCTTGGTGAATGGTGAGTTAATTCCTATTTTCACTCTCTCTATCCAATAACAGAAACGTAGGATAAAATCGTTGAGGTGAAAAAAACACATTATTGGATACTATGGTAAAACTACACCAGACCTTCTTCCTTCTACTACTATTTCCATGGCTCCTCGATCGATACTCCAGCTTTGAAAACCCTAAAAAGTGAAAATCAAGCTCATCTATCGTCTTGAGATTGCTTTTGGACATCTAAGTCGAGATTGAAATCTCCCAAAACCTATTTGGAGCTTGGTTGATGTTCGATCTGGTATTGAAGAAAAGGGTTAAGTAGAACAGATCGGCTCTGATTTACTAGCTCTAAGAGTTTGAATCGGATTTCTGTTCTCAGTTTCCGTCTAAAGAAGCTTTTACGGTCATCTTCAACTGTAAATGCTGTTAATTTACATGTCACTACTTGGTTTTTAGTCATGGTGAGGCGTCATGGATGGCAGCTCCCTGCTCACACGTTTCAGGTACATTGTACAAGTTTTATTTATTTTTTCATTTTCTGCTGAATAGTTTCTGCAATTTCAGCTAGGCAAGCAGGCAAATTGAGAGAAAGATCGAGATCTGAAGAAAGCAGTAATGAAGAGAGAAATCGGGATTGAATTAAATGGGTTTAATCCCGACGCTTTTAAGAGGAAGGGGAAGAAGAGAGATCGGGGAGAGAGAAATGTGAAAGGACCGAAGGTTGGGGAAGATAAACAATATTTTTTTCGTTTAGTTATTATAAGGATAGTATGGGGATTAAAATATATTRCAACGCCTTTTAGTACGGAAAGGGGTTTTTGTCTCACGGTTACAGGGGTCTTTATAATTTACCCAAAGAGATAAGAGAGAATAAGGGCATTTTAGTAATTTCAGTGCCTGTGTTTACTCGAAAACTAACGGAATGGAGGAACATGCATCTTTATTCAAAGCATTAGGAGAGGTTTTTATTTGGGTCAAAACAGAGGGGAGGTTTGCAGAATTGTCACAGAATCTAGGGGATGATTTTATAAAATTACCCTTAAAACAATCGTCTTTTTACTGGTTTAGGGGGTTTGCAGAGGTTTTAGAATTCAGTCAATCTGATATTGAATCAAGAGCGAAAGATTGAAAATGGCTGCCGCTGTTGCTCGAAATTCGTCCCTTTTGCGAGCACTTTGGAGAACAACGAACTCAAGAGGAATGGCTAGTCCAATTTTACCTAGTTCGATTCGATCGAATTTCATGAGCCAGCATTCTCGAATCTCTGCTCGCTCTCCTTTGAGGTATACATTGATGCTTACTTGTTTCCCTTAATGCTTCGCATTTAATCTTTCTCTCTTCCTAAAGTAGATTTCGTTTTCTTCTCGAAGGTTGCGACGAGAATCGTTGCTCTTGAGTTCTCTTCTCCCTGATCACAGCGCGATTGCATCAGCATGCCTCGTTTCGAAGCTTCCGAGTGAAGCTAGTACATCCACAGAAGGTCTCTCTCTCTCTCTCTTTCCAGTGAATAAAGTGCAGGAGAAAATTAAACTGCATAGATATTAGCTTCTTTGCATTTGTTTTCTCTTCTGTTGTTTGTATGAAATTAGGCAATTTGTTGTATAGAGCTCGAGGTGAGATATTAGTAATTTTTATATGTTCTTTGAATAACATTTTGGCCATATCATTCAATATAATTCGATTTGATTGAGATTCAGAATTTCTCTTTTTTAAAGAATTTTCAACAAGCAATGGGATCAAGTAATTCCAAGAGATTTATTTGTCCCTTGTAGTTATCTTTTATGGATTTTAATTTCAAGTCCCTGCAGTTAATATTTTCAGACAAGGTTTCCTTCATTTGGGGCCTTCCATTTTCAATCAATTTATACATATATTATTTTTTTTTTTGAATAAATTTATACATATGTTATTAATTTTAGGAAACCTCTTCTGTTTCATAATTGATATATCAAAGCTGAGAGGTATAATATAAGCAGGGAAAAAAGATTGGAAGAGCATGCTGTCACCTTATTTAGATGCTTTCATCCAATTTCGGCATTCTTGTCCTGCCACACTATTTTATGCCAATAGAAATATTCTCAGTAATGACGATCAGATGTGTCAGTTTTGTTTGGAAAGATTATTTAGTCTTCCCTCATGTTATGTAGTTAAAACCTTCAAGGGCCAATTTCTTACACCGAACAGTGTTGTATCCTGTGCTTTATAAGTTGATAAGCTACATGAACCTCACTCAATTTAAGCAAGTGAAAAGAATTGTGCAGAGTTCTATGAATTTTTATCAAACACATTAAGGGTCCATTTGGTTTGTGGGAATAGGGGTCTGGATTTGGAATTGGAATGGACCATTCCAGGTTCAAACCATTTGGTTGGGCGGAATCGGAATCCCATTCCCATTCCTGGTGGAATGGCATTCCCCCATTTGAGGGAATGGTCATTCCCTCCGCCTCCATTGGGAATGAGAATCCATTCCAGCTGTTTCCAATCCAATTCCAATTCCTATCTAAACCAAACAGATGGGAGGAATATACCATTCCGATTCTGATTCTGACTGCAAACCAAATGGACCCTAAAAGTATTTGCAAGTGCTGGATGACATTTATGCTTGTTTATATCAAACTCTTTCATTCCTTTTTCTTTAACTCTTTCCTCTCTTTTAGCATCCAAACTTGATGGAGAGTTATTTAAACTGAGATTCTGGATGAAGTTACAACTGTGAATACTTATCAACAAGTTACATATTTTTATTTGATACATGCAGTGATTAATAAAATTAAGTAAATTTGGGGAAGCATACAAATTGACATCTCAGAAGATGATACAAATTTTCCACCTAAAATAATTGTTTTATGATTCCCAAAATCAATACCTCCTCTTCTGGCTTCCTTCCCTTATTTATAATACTTCCGTTACAATTCTGTTATATCAGCCTCTCCACTTSTCCAGTTTGTTATTTAGTTTGTTCGAGTGGTTGGCTGTCAGTTACATTACTTAAAGGCTGATGTTGCCTTTTCTTGTACACTTGTCCCTCTGTTCCCCTTATTTGTGTCTTAACAGTCCCTCCTCCCTTGAAAGCGACCTTGCCCTCAAGGTCAAGATGTGGAAATCTATTCTGTAAGTCCAAGTAAGGTTCCCAAGTTGCATCTTCAAGTGGAGACCTGACCATACCACCAATGCCTCTAGTTCGATGTGCTACCCTTTGTGTATCCACCTGAAATCTGTTATCTGGGTGGGCTCAGTTTGAACTTGGCCATCTTCCGAGAATGATGGGAGGGTTGTTGTTGTTATTGCTCCTGTTTTTGGCCATTTCTTTAATAGAGATACATGAAATACAGGGTGCAATTTTGATGTTRCTGGAAGGTCAARCCTGTATGCCACAGACCCAATGCGTTCCACAATCCAAAATGGGCCGAAGTACCTTGGGCTCAGTTTGTTCCACCTGTGGCCTACTACTGAAACTTGCTTGTATGGTTGTAGTTTAAGGAAGACTTGCTCCTCAATCTGGTGCTGGACAGGCCTATGCTTTTTGTTGTAAGAGTCTGCCATACATTGTTGGGCTCGACGGAGGTGGGATTTGAGATCTTGTAACACCCTATCCCACTGGAGGAGTTGGTCTTCCACTGCTGCTACTGTTGTAGACCCTTTCTCATATGGGAGTAGGGGAGGTGGGTCCTGTCCATATAGAGCCCAGAAGGGAGTCATTCCTACTGCATTGTGATACGTGGTATTGTACCACCATTCCGCCCAATGAAGCCGTTTGAGCCATTGACGTGGTCTATCCCCTGCATAGCACCTTAGATAGGTTTCCAAACTCCGGTTGACCACCTCAGTTTGCCCATCTGTTTGAGGATGGTAGCTGGTAGATTTGAAGAGTTTCACTCCCTGTAGTCGAAAAAGTTCTGCCCAGAAACGGCTCATAAAAATTGGGTCACGGTCTGAGACAATAGAGTTAGGGGTACCATGCAGTCGTGCCACCTCCTTAGTAAAAATCTCAGCCACCATTGAACCCACAAAGGGGTGGGAAAGAGGGAGAAAATGGTAGTATTTGGTGAATCTATCAACAACTACGAGAATGACGGACTTGCCATAGGAAAGGGGAAGCCCCGTTATGAAGTCCATGGATATATTCACCCACACTTGTGTAGGAATTGGGAGTGGTTGTAGCAGACCTGCTGGACACTGGGTATCGGCCTTATTTTTCTAGCAAATGACGCATTCGGCTATGAATTTTTGGACCGAATTCCGCATGCCTTTCCAATGGAATTGAGTGGCTAGTCTCTTGTAAGTGCGCAAAATCCCTGAGTGTCCTCCTGCTGGTGATGAGTGGAACACTTCAAGAAGCTGCTAAATATGGGCTGAATCCTGTGGTATCACCATTCGACATTTATACAACAAGAAGTTATTCTCCACTGTGTACCCTGGGTGGCTAGTAGGGTCCTCTTGGACCTGTGAACGCAGCTTGTTCAGTTGTGGGTGTCTTTCAGCTTCTTCTCTTAACTGACTCATGATGGAACACATTGGGGCCGTGAGAAGTAATGGAAATAGTTGTGGTTGGCGTGATAGCGCATCTGCCACCTTGTTAGTGTGCCCTGCCTTGTATTTAATGACATAATCGTAGCCGAGTAATTTGGCTATCCATCGTTGCTGTTCTAGGGATAATACGGATTGCTCCAATAGAAATTTCAGGCTATGGTGGTCAGTTCGTATGATGAACCTCCTCCCTAGAAGGTAGGGTCGCCACCTCTGAACTGCGAGATCAATTGCTATCAGTTCTCGTTCGTATACTGACTTGGCCCATTTTTGTGCTGTCGATGCTTTGCTGAAAAACGCTAGTGGCCTTCCTTCTTGATGAGAACCGCACCTACTCCTTGGCTTGACGCATCACATTCAATGATGAAGTCCTTTGAGAAATCTGGAAGTGCGAGCGTCGGTGGGGACAAGACAGTTGTTTTGAGCGTGTCGAAGGCCTGTTGGACCTCCCTAGTCCAGTAGAACCCATTCTTCTTAAGTAAACTTATCAAGGGGGCAGCAATCAGTCCATACCCTCTGATGAATCGTTGGTAGTACCCTGTTAGACCCAAGAAGCCCTGTAACTCCTTAACATTTTGAGGTCGGGGACAATTTATCATGCTTGAGATCTTTTTTGGGTCTGCTGCTACAATGCCGTTTTCGACTACATGCCCTAAGTAGTGTACTTGAGTCTGTCCAAATGCGCACTTTGACTCCTTTGCAAAGAGTTTATGAGTCCTTAGTAGTTCCAAGGTGATTTATAGATGTACTAGGTGTTCGTCCCATGTAGCGCTATATACAAGTATATCATCAAAAAAGCGAGTATAAATTTGCGCAAATGGGGTCAAAATATGTCATTCATAAGTGCTTGAAACGTAGCTGGCACATTGGTCAACCCAAACGGCATGACCAAAAACTCAAAATGCCCCTCGTGTGTATGAAAGGCGATCTTGTGGATGTCACCCTCATGGACCCGAATTTGACGATATCCCGATCTCAGGTCTAGTTTAGAGAATATTGTGGCCCAGCCGAGTTCATCTAGTAGTTCATCGATTGTCGATATGGGGAATCGATCCTTCACAGTAATGTTGTTCAGGGCCCTATAGTCTATACAAAACCGCCATGTCCCATCCTTCTTTTTTACGAGTAATACCGGCGAGGAGAATGGGCTATGGCTGGGTTGTATAATTTTTCTATCAAGCATATCTTGCACTTGTCTCTCAATCTCTAGTTTCTGAAAATAGGGGTAACGATAGGGCCTTACATTTGTGGGTGCCGTTCTGGGCAGCAATGGGATGCAATGATCATGGGCACGTCTCGATGGTAGTTCCTTAGGCTCTTGGAAGATCACTGAAAACTTCTGAAGTAACTGTTGTAGTTGTATGTTGGCTTCTTCGGATTTGCTGGAGTTACTTCCTTGGGCTAGAATTGGGCCGTTCCCGTGGGAGTCTATTTGCATTAAAATGATGTGGGCTGGGTCTGCTGCCTGTTTTCTTAGGTTGCTGAGACTAATGGGTCCTAGATCCTTGGACATCTATCCTTGAATATGCACCTATGAGTTGCCCACTTGAAAGTCCATTATGAGACGGGCCCAGTCACATATCACCGGCCCTAGTTGCCTTAACCATTGGACTCCGAGAACTACATCTGCTCCACTGATTTCTAGGGGATGTAGATCTACCTCGAATTCGTGTCCTTGTATCTTTAGTTTTAATCCTATGCATGTACTGTCGCACACCAGATTGCTCCCATTAGCTACGTGCACCCGGAATGTTGTACATGGTTGGACCGAAATCGCTAGTTGTCTGACCAATGTTTGAGTAATGAAATTGAGAGTGCTACCACTGTCTATAAGAACTGATACATGGCGCCCTTGTACCAATCCGGTTACTCTCATAGTTCGAGAGGAGGCAAGACCGGTCAAGGTTTGCAGGGATACTTCCGGATATTCCTTTGTCCATTGCCTCCATTCTT